TGTCTATTTGAAAGAATTGAAACAATTCAAAATGCTATAAACAAAAATATTTTCGTAGCAAACATGTGACTTATTATTCGACATGTGAGGTAAACGTTCTATATAAAATGTCGCTTGACTGTGCCATTTTCAAATGCATCGATACCCTAATAATGACGAAGTCTTTCAAATACAAAATTGTTTAGTAAACATAATAACGATTCTTTATTGAAACGGAAAGAACTATTAAAGGTGGTCAACCACTTAGCAATGAATCGCTCCTCCACGCTGGGCAGTTTCTTTCTAGAACTTGCACTAAAGGTAATGCTGCGAAGGCTCAAATAAGTAACGCAGTGAAAATAACCCATTCGAATTCAGTCTGCGTGTACTCCTTTGGTTTGGATACAGCAGGCAGAAAATGCTTACATGAAACAATGCAACAGATCATGGTTTTTTGAACATATGAGCAGAAAAATGTAAAACCAGCATCAACAGCATCGAAAATCTTAAAGCGATTGTCTTGTTACAATCTAGAATTCACTTCTTCCTCCCTACTTGAAATACATTTGATAGTTATTCAATTGGCTGTTATTTGTGGTATAATCAGCGAACCCAGTGCCATGACATTGCCTTTTATTCAAAATTGTGAATGTTTCAAAATCTTTAGATCTACAGAACTTTCTTAATTCAAGCATATAAAAGATCATTAGCCACCTTCAGAAAAAAGGTTTTGAAAAATTGCTGATTAAAATATACTGGACTTGATCAAACGTAAGGAGCATACCATATAGCAGAATATAAATGTCTGTTCTGTGCTTAACTTTAGATATAACTTACATTATATGAACAGAGGGTAGACTCCATATGTGGTCGCTAACCGAACAAAATTATCTTTAAGTATATGTTTTGCCACAATCATCAAGAAGTCAAGAATAATGAAAAACAAATATCAAACTGCCGATTGATCTATGATATTTTGCAAACAGAATATGAAAAGATGAAAATAAAATCAGGTGTCGATTTTGGAAATAAGACACAACATGGAGGTTAAATGAGCCAAAATGATCTGCGCTTGTTCATCAGGTGAACCCAAACATTTGGAACCAGGCAGTCCATGAATGAAATAAACTCATTGCATGACATTTTCCTGAAGTTGGACCCTTTCTAAGACGCCTTATGCACCAGCGGCCCAGCAGATCAAAGTCATATCAAATTAATATAACCCTATTATCTTACATTTTACACTATTTTTCGAAAAAATAATCTTGAAAATATTTGAGCTTCAAAACTGGTCAAATGCCAAGAAAAAATAAAATAATGATTTGGAACAAAGTTTTTCTAAAATCTTTCTATAGTCTAAAATGAGGAGGTTTAGCCATTTTGAAGTGCTCTGTCTGCAAAGCAAGATTTCATATCAGTGTAATGAAGAATAGACTTTATAGAATGTTTAGACATCAGAGTAAAACCTACCATATATTTTGGCTGATAAACGCGTAATGGATCGCACTGGACTCTACTTGACAGTAATCCTAAAAAATTGACAATTGACAAACTTTGTTGCAAAACTTCACCACAGTTCTTATCTACCTCCTTCTGTAGATAAACAGGTTTATCTTTATTGGTGCTATCTGAAACTTCAGATAACATGAACGACTTCAAACCTATAGCCTATATGACTAATCTATCACTTGGGAAGATAATTCAAAAATTCTTATCCGAAAAATTCTCTGACAAATATTATTGGATTTTTAGTGTGATACTTTGAAATTTTTAAAATAAGTATTACCAAACCGGTATGTGTATTGACATATGGAAGATGAGATTAATAAGTCCTTTTCAATTTTGATAAAAGAAATAAATAGCATCCTACCTGTTTTTTATATTTCAGCAGTAACAATCCTCTAACAACAGCTGTCGAATGTATCTCAATTTTGTATTTTCCAGTGTTACGCTTTGTCCAATTCAGCAATTTTAAAAATACACATACGTCTTTGAAAACAAAATATGAAAAAATCATCCTGCAGTGGAAAAGCGTGGACAATTTTTAGAAACGTTGTTGCAAAAACTCAAAATTATCCTTCTCAGTAGCAAGGGTCGCGTGCTAGCGAATTGGGAGTTAGATTCGCTGCCACGAACAACCTTTTATATGGGAAGGGTCAGCCTGTCATTCCAGGCATAGGAATAACGTGGTGTGGTCAAGTCGATAGGTAGGACAAGGACACTATGCGTTAAGCAAGTACAGTCTTTCATTGTTTTAAAAACTGCTTTCGGAAGCTATGAAGTAAGGAGTTTAAAAGTTAAATTTTAACGGATCAGTCAAAACCACATTTTGCTAAGCTAGCATTGGAAGATATTGGGAACACAACAAAAAGGCTGCCGGATAGTGCTGAATGACGTAAAAGAGAAGATTTGTGAAGGCTAGCACATCAAGCACTCTTGCACACAGCGAATAAAGAAAATTTGGAGGGGGCCATTAAGGCATAGCCCCATATCGATTTCTAAAGTGTAGCTGCAGTCTTGCAATGAAGCTTCAAAAACGTTAAGCTCCCCAAAACTTTTCACCCCTTCCCAATCCGTAACTTGCTGCGCGCGTAATTTGCTGTGCAATCTCTTGCATCACGTAAAGCCCACTTAGCAGACTCCTTACAATTATATTATTATTGGAAAGTTTTGTTTGAAGGTGCAAAAAACTATTACTTAACTAATGCAGTGCATTTTTGGAGAACTTCTCGCTATTCGTGTTTTTAAATAACTGCACCCCGTTAAAACATCTTGGTTGCTCCATTGCATATTCCTTATTGATTCAAAAATTAGTTAATTCAAGCTGGTATAAATTATATTAAGAAGCATCTTATGCCAATCACGTATATGGTTGTGAAACGATAACATTAGGCCAATGAAATAATAAAAATAGGACATTGAAATCACAATGACAACATTAACAAAATTTTTTTTTGCCTGGAAAACCGGTCCTAACAAAAAATCTTGCTGTTGATAAGAAGCAATATAAAGTTAAGAGGGAATTTTGAACGCAGCCTTTCAATCTAAATTGACTACAACAGGGCAATATGATTCATGCCGACGAAAAATAAGATTAAAACAACGGAGAAGGTAGTTGTTATTGTTTTGATTTTCATAAAGGGTTTATTTCTCGTAATTATGACAAAAATAAAAGATATGAAATAAACACTAAATTTTGTTTTCATAGCACTATGCTGTTGCATTGTGAATTTGCATATATGAATAGTTGAGCTTTGGCAACAGAATGTTTCGAAGAGGTAACATACAATTGCAACAAAGCGATATCGACTATTTTGCTGCCGTTTCAATTTAACTGCCTATTCTATTTTTAATGGCATTTATTAGAGAACTGTTTGTTGTACTCAGTAGGTACGCAAATAAAAAAGTGTTTCCAGGCTTATTGCAGTGGATTTCAAAACATTGAAATATTGACACAAATTTTTAAAAGCTTTGTAAAAGTATAGCTAATGGAAAGTAAGCAAAAAGCTGGCTGTTTTAAGTTTAAGTATCGCCCAAAAAAAGAGAGACTTACCAAGAATTCTTAGGCCCGCTGCTTTATGTCACCCTTCCCTCCTGCCCTGATACACAACTTGACTTCCAAAGCAGTTTTCCATATCATGTTAGAAAAAATTGGCTGTAAAAGCTTTTACAATTGCCATATGCGTATTAGTTGGGGCTCAAATTCAATTTATGGCTTTCATTTCTGGCAGTTTCATTAACCTGAATGGCCTTCGAGAGGAAAACTCCGTCTGCAATGGCGTTGAAAATGGCGAGCATTGAAAATGAGACTGTATTTTCCCATCGGGAATCTTTTGAAGGTAACCCCGTGCAGGAGTTTCCCCAAGAGAATACAACAAAAGCTTCCTTAACAATCAAGACCAAGACCTTGTATCTTTACTAGTTATTTCACAGACATGTGTTTGTACTATACGATGTTTCAACTGCGTTTCAGTCTAAAATCATGTTTACAAAACCAATTTGAAATTTTAAGGTGGGGAAATAAGATGATTTTTTCCACAAGTTTTCTAATTTATCATGATACTACAAACTTTTTTATTATAGAGAGTAGTTTTGTACCCCAACACTTAGGCCCTTATAGCAAACAGCTGCGACTTCTCGAGCACATTAATTTTTATAAGAAGAAGTAAAATTTAAATGGGTTGTTCATAATCAAAATAATAGGGTGTAAGCAGTGCTATTGTTCTCAAGGGGAAGCGTCAGGCCTACTTGCCAACAATGGGAGAGATCCATCAACAAAAGTCCTCTTTTTGAAATGGGATATTTTCAAGAGGGTTTCACAACTTTGCCCAAATGTTATTTTAAAAACCTCAACATTGGCTTGATCTGAATTTGTTCTTAACTTCTTATAAAATTGTTATTATAAAAAGTGAAAACAGAGACATAAGAAGAAAATGAAGGCAAAAGTCCCGCCTACCATCCTAAAAATGTGCCCATGTCCCTTGAGCAAATCTCCCTTGAGTCAAACAAAAAGGTTTGAATGTTTGAAAAACACAATGCTTACCAAAAATATTGGAATACCAACAACACAAACGTTTCCTCTATCCCCTCTCAAACAATGCTGTGCTACTCTTCATAGAAATAAACCATTTGAACGTAACCTACATATTCGGAAACTAGGATGGTCGAGTTGTATTTCCAACATTGCTTTAGTGGGAAACAACTCAGCTAATTCTCCAGGCGTGAATAAATTATATATCGCGAACTGACTGAAACTGCTTAGCCTGCGCGTAGACTTTACAAATGAGGAAAAGACTTCCTCTATTTTTAAAGTCTGCATGCAGGCAAAAAAACTGCTTAGGTGTTCCAATTTTCTTCTAGCAATTATATTACAGCTTACTCCTAAGGAACTCATATTAGAGAAAAGCCCCAATTATACACATAGCCTGCATGGGGTCCTGGTGAAGAAAATTGCCTAGCTACATTTTGTTCTTGGTGCCAAAATGAGCAATTGAGCATAGTCAATATGACTATAAATAGTCTTGGCCTTCCTTTTATTATCAAACGCTTTCTATGTCTTTAAAGATTTATGTGTACAGGAAGCAAATCAAATTAGAAACTAAAAAAATAATCTTATCTTTCAATTTCATCATAATTATTTGTAATTATATTGCGACAAATCACAACATAGCCCAACAAAGCTCTGTTCTATTCAAATAATCTAAAATTTAAATTTACACATAAAACAACTTGCTTTAAAAGTAGCAAGGCCATGGAAAATAACCATTATATACAAGGGGGTTTTGAAAAATAGTTTCCTGATTAAAAAAAATATGCTCTACACGTTTATCTATCAAGTTGCCGAAGTTGGTTGAGTGGGAGACAAATTTATCATCCTACCATAGCCTAGAAATTTATTTTTTATACACTGTTCCTTTTGTTTTACGCGGAAATATTTACTCGTCTTCTCGCGGTCTCTTCCGCTTGGATTCGAATAGAATGATGGGACGCATTGTTTGCTTCTAAGAATCCTGTGATATTGTCTAAAGTGTCTTGTAAAGAGTTTTGTATTTGCACGAGTCTTTCACCGTTTTCATCTGTCAGCTGCTCAAAGCGAAGAATGCCAGCACGTGTTTGAATACCACGTAATTTGTAATAGCATTCAAGAGCTTTGTGAAGTCTGGTGCGGAAATCGAACAGCTAGGAAAAAAGATCGCGCAGTTAGTAACCTCATGTTGTGTATATACTCAAGAGTTTTAGATGGAACTCAAACAGCACATAACAGCATTTTTCAAACAATCCTGAATTTGCAACAGGATTATTTCTTTATGTTATCAATGCAAACAACAGGGTAACTATTTGGCACGGGGCTCCTTCTAGGCACCATAAGCACGGGGTCTGGGACCATAGCCCCAATGAACCCCCATAAAACCACCACTAGTTAACCAGAATGTTGCAGAGTGCAAATTGCAAAATAAACAGAGCTGTACAGTGTATAGAACGAAGGGCTTTGAGCTTTTACTATGAGTTTCACGCTTTAATTGATCGTCAGACAACTAGTAATACACAAGCACTACACTCTTTTTTAAAAGAACAAGATAATTTTTGCCGAGCCTCGATGTTCTTAACCTTTTGACGATTTTAGGCTCAAATGTTCCTAAAATTGTACTTATCTTAAAAGCGATTTTTTTGCAAATATTTGAGAGGTTACATACGTATATAGTTTCTAAGATGTTTTACTGGATAAAGTTTAAAAATAAAGCAATGACTGCTAGTGTTTATGGACAAACTTGCATAGTTGTGTTTTGTTGACATGACATAATTTTCAAAATGCGAATTGTTTTCTTTCAAATTACTCATCTGAAGCTGAGCATGTTCTAGCCTTGTTCTTATTCTTTGGGCAAATCGAGCCTCAGTGTTCTTATAAAAAAAGAGTGGAGCAATAATACACAAGTCAATAGTTTTTTGCTGATGGCATTGAGCCTGAAATTCTGATTTATTCTGATAAATCAATCTGAGTAGCTTTCTGATTGATTTTAATATGAAGCACACTACAATAGTGCATTGAATAGGGCCATGACAAACCATAACTTAAAAACAAAAATCGTAGCAATTTAGAACCGTACTTTTCTACACAACAAGTTATACATTGTAGATCACAAACTACTTAACAAGCTAAATATTAATCCTACAGACAGAAAATTATATAAAAAATTTGATCATTATTCTTTCAAGACTTTGATTGGTATTTTGGAGTTTTCGATTATGAGAAAGGCTGGGTTCATAAGCTAGCTTTTATAACAAACTGACAATTAATGGGAGAAAGATATTAAGGATTGATCAGATATCTAGCTAAGCTTAATCCTAGCAGACAATCTTGAGTTATCCAAAAAATTGATCCATTGATATTGTCAAATGAAGAACCTTTTTATAGCAAAACGATTAATTCACATTGATATGCATTTCTCAACTCACATATTTGAGAAGATGGAGTGGTGAAGAAGTGACAGGTGTCATATCCAAAATAATTCAAGACTTAAAATCTCGGTCAGGAATCTTTAGTAAAATGAAAATGTTAATGATTTTGTGAAGAGCTTGTCAATTAAGGACTGTCAGACCCTTTGAGGGTGGTGGTTCTAAAAATATTTAGGTCCCTATTAAAATATCAAAGGTATTGTAAAATAAAGAGCAATATTGTCTGGAAATTGTAAGGCGCGGGTATTTGGAAGGAACGAACATAGAACTGTAGATTAAGGTCTATTATCTTAAAAACCATATTGAATTTATCTTGATTTTATTTTTCACACGTGTAATCTGTCTTAAAATGTAAGCTGACATCGGATTTAACTCTATTTTAGGCCGGCTTAGCCTACATGAAGCATTTTTGACATTACTCTGTGAAGCACTAGGAAAGTTCTGAAGGAATCTTTGAGTGTTTTATACTTAAAAGAAAGTAAGCTCAAAATTACAAAATCATATGACATTTTTCAATAAACAAGAACTAATGCACAGAATTCTGCTTCACTACCTTCTTAGCAATGCGGTTTTAAGAGAATTGATAGCAAAAGGTTTAAGCAGATAAATAACACAATTTGGTTTTTTACGATAGGTGTATCTCGATGAGTTTGCGTAACACACCACAGTCAATAATCTCTTTCTTATAGTAGATTAGATACTGTTGCCCCCACATACCAAAGTTTATCAGACTTTGTTGCATCTAATGACAGTGGCAAAATACTGAATACATGCGCAGCCCTTCGCAAAACCATCGTAATTCTTTTAGATAGCGACTTACTTTATACCAAATTTGAAACCTACCTCCTTTTTGTCTTTCAGGCCATTCGCAGTGAGCAAGGCATTTTCATACACAGTTAAAAGCTTGTCTTTTGCAGCCATGAATTCGTTTTGCATAGAAGAATACAGCTTGGCAAGTTGTGTGTTCTCTGTGAGGGACTTTTGCATACCGTCCTGCAAAAAAGGAAATCTGAAGTAAATTCATAAGACAAGGTATAATAAAAACAGTTTATAGAATCTTTAAGTAAAAGGCAATGCATGAAAGAGGCAATGCATGAAAAAATAGAGGATGGGGTAGGGGGAGTTATATCTTGCGGGCTTGTGGGTTGCGAGCATCTGGTTGTGAGCCCTTCGATTTCGCGAATTCAATACAGTCCCCAAACATGTCGTAAAGCTGCAAGCAATATCTTCACAGAAGCTGGTACTTACATTTCCCATAGGTATCGCAACATAAAACTCTCCTATACAAACGCCAGGGAGGGGGTGGGTGGGGAGCTAGGGTTTCCCTTCCAATAATCCCCCTGAATTACATAAACTAAACGTTAAATGCGGTTATATGAATCATACATATCATTCGAAGATTTTATGGAACTTCACATTTATCTATCCCGAGCAAATGTTGAAATCTTTGTGAAGATTTGTAGTACATGGACACATGTACACAAAACGATGCAATTTCAAATCATTGCGTTTAAAAAACAATTCTTGAAGGCGTTTTCGGATATTTGCAGTCACAGATTCAGTATTGTCGACTGTCAAGAAATAAAGAAATGATTGTATTTTCATTTGAAAACTTAGTCGCGTAAACAGGGCCTAAGTAGAGACTGCAATGGTGTTTGGTCAAGTCTGAGAAAAAAACATTTAATTCAGTGAAACAAACCTGTAATCCAAGCAAAGTACGCTCTCTCCTATCCATGTGGTCAACGTGTTCCTGCTCCCCTTTCGAACCTCTTGCTACAAAAAATTAGAGAGGAAAGATTAAATGAAATGCTAAGAATGTATGCTCATTGATCAGCTACATAACATCATGACTGAGGAGCCAGGAAGGATGTTTTGATAATGAAATGGTTTGATAGAGGATTTTTGTTGCTCTTAGGTTTATGAAATGTTATCCTTTATTTTCAGGAAAAAATGAAAAGTCATTGCTGTTAAATCTCTGCCCTCCTGAGATTCCATTCATCACGACACCCTTAGGACAGAAGAACTATGATGAAAATTAGGAGAACAACATATGTATTTGCTTCTGTATTGAAATCAGGTCGCTGATTAGGTCGTCGGTCAAAGGTTAATGAAATTTTAAAGGTGACGAGGTTAAAGTTGAAAGACTAGTTCTTTGGATAGAATTAAAAGGATATTGTTGCAAAGAAATGTAAGTTTCACAACAAAATCAAATTGTCGTTTAAGCTGAGGTTATGGAATCTCTTGAAGCCAACAAGGGACTATGCTGTGTCAGATCAAGGACTGGAACCTATGAAGATGTTTGTCAAGCTGTATGTAGCAAATGTTTTATCTTAGGCCCTAGTGCTCGTTAAAAAGTGCACATTGATCAAAAGCAGCTTTAGTTGTTTCGTTGTGTTAAAAAACAAGCTCCTGCCAAAGTGTGCGTGCGTTTTATTTTCATCTCAGTCAGTCACAAAAGTGCAGGCAGGTAGAAAAAATACATTACATAAAAAGCAATGCCTTTTAGTGGAGTCAAGCAATGGCTGAAAGATATATAAAGTAGCAGCCATTGATGGCTATGACAAGATGCAACCACATACCTTTAAGCTGTCCAAGCGTCTCTTCCAACGTTTCTTTGATGCCCTGTCCAGCTTGAAGCTGGATCTTGAGCTCGTTAAGTTCCTCGCTAAGAAAAGAAAATATTGATTACAGGCCTAAGAAAAACGACAATCTTTTTACTATAACCTTGACTTAACGTTGACTATTAAAAAATGACCTAATAAGAATTACCAACATCAGCACCGTAAGTTAAAGGGGGGGGGGGTGCTCTCTCCACGATCAGTTTATCTATCGAGAGGGTTCCTCCTTAAGATATGCCATGCATGCAAGTCTACTTTTTTTCTTACATCCTTGTGGTTTTTTTTATATATTTACACTTAATTGACTTATTTTGAAAATGTTTGTATGTAGCGGAATTTTAAAATTATAAACTGAACTGAATGAGAATTGAAATACTCAAGAGAAATAAATTGCCAAGCAAATGACCCTGCCTAAATAATAGGGTCTGACAAGCCATATTATTGAATTAATCCCTGGCCATGGGTCTGACAAGCCATATTATTGAATGGCTTCAGTTCTGTGTGATGCGCAAAACTAACATACCTGAGTTCTTCAATGGCTTCTTGAGTTGAAAGCAGTGCTCTGTTCATCATGACAGATGAGGATGCCATGTCCTGCATTCGCTTCTCAATCATCTCAGTGCGCCATTCCATTTCGTCCAGTTCTTTGCACAATTTCATCTTGTTTTCCTGTTTGAAAATGTTAAAAATAGGTTTTTGTCAAAATTTAGAAGTAAATTTTGGGACATTATTGAAAATCTTGGTATCAACTTGAGTTATACCAAAGAAAGAAGGAACGGTCTTAAAGATTAATGAAAGCAAATTAAGAAAGATAGGCGAGGAGCTAAGACAAATATGAAGTGTAACAAATAAAGTCTATGAAAACTTTATAGATGGAAAGAGAATGTAGAGTTTTTCTATATCTTGCAAGACTGCAAACAAGTCGTCGGTTTTTCAATCGTTAAGTCGAAAAAAGGAATTGAGCAAACACATATAATACAAGAAGCGTTAAATGGCAGATATGATTAAAATATAATCGATTACGGATAACATCTACATAAAAACTAACCTTAAGATCAGCTTCTTTTGGCTCCAGCCCCTTAATTTCAGTATTGCATTCCCCTTGATTCTGGGAATGCTGTTTATTCTCCTGCTCTATGAGTGAGTCCAGATCACCAATAACCTAAAGTGATGAGAAATCAAGAACTCCGTATCAAGTCTACATTCAATGATAATTTATACTTATGTACAAAGACTTAATCGTTGGCCCACCTAATGTTCTTGGTGATTGCTAGTAAATTCTAAAAATCCTTCATTCGACAATTCTTGCAACAGTGCTAGCAGAACTAGAAAAAGCTTTCTTGAACCCTATATAAATGCCGATCTGTTTCAATCCCCCCCCTCCACCTCTGCTAGGTAGATTTATAATGTAATACAGTGTCAAAATGGCATATATCCTCCCTGCACTTAAAAGCTTGCTCTTACTATTAACATCTGTCTAGCCCTGGCGGTAATGTGTAATTATAACAACGACGAGAAACCACTAGATGAAATGAATTCATGCATAAATGGCACTCATGCAAAAAAATGAGTACCTTTTTTCTCTCTTCGTGAATCTTCTCCATTTTCGCAACCTGTAGCGTAAAATATGAACATTTATTCACAGATGTACGAAAGCCTCTTTTTGGATTCTTTTCAAGCACCTCAAGCAACTGACTATGCTTAGTTTAATTTATCATTGTACTTATTAGGTTAGTAGACTAAAAGTATACTTAAATCACATTGTATGAAAGACGGAAACCTGTTATTGCATACTGCAAGTACTGTCTGATATTCCTCAAAAGCATGGAATACCGTCAAAGGACCACGGAGTACACTGGAAGCTTTTGATATTTCTTCCCTAGGTGAACAAACCTCTAGTGGATTTGTATAGCTTAGTCTTCCTTCTCTGCCAAAAACTCGAACATTCTAGAAACTATTCCTGCTAGTCTAGTATAGAGCTTGGCATAAATGCTGGATTTTGTCCCCTCGATATTAAAGATCTCCACTGAACTCATAACTCCAGAAGCGTTTATAATTCATTGCATTTTGGGGTCCGTTTACTCTGTTTTCCTTATAGGCTGCTTCTCGAACTTTGTAAAATCCATCGAAACAGATACATGATTAATACATCCCACCTTAACGCCGAAAGAGAAACACCCCCCTTTAACGTCAGCAAGTGATAGTGAAATTCAATAGGAAGACCAAAAATGAAACCAACTAATAAAACTTCCCCGGTAGCAAGAGGTCGCACGGTGGCGTGCCATTGGCATCTAAGATGCTAGATTATAATTGACCCCTTTCTTGACTATCTTTTTGAAGCTGAATCTTAAGCTCGGTGCATTTGTGACTGCCTTACTGTAACCCAGCCTTTTTCTATGTCTCTCCATTCATTTCGAACACTTTCTGTACAATCCTAGGCATTGGATTTTTGTACGATTCAGTCAAAGTACACTTTACCTCCATACATGATCACTCTTTAATGCACATCTACGAACTTCACACGAAGCGATGTTATTAAACTAAAATGGATTATGTATATGTCCCCATAGCTTTCTTGGTACTTTCCAATCATTCATCCTGAACAAAAGTGGAAATCTTTTAAACAGGAACATGGCTTACCTGGGCTTTAATGCTAGTGACTGCCTTATCGATTTCTTCAGACCTTTTCGTGCCTTTTTCCTTCTTCTTACTAGCATCAGCTTTGGTTTTTGCAAGGTCAGAGATATCAGCTGTTATTCGGGCCTAGAGTACAACGACAGAAAATTATCACAATTTTGACGGGGAAATCTTTTCAGGTTAGATAATCAGTTCGCCTTTCTCAACAGCATTTTTCAAAGACACACTAAGCACTAAAGCGGAATCAAATCATTCTTTTCTTAGTGGAAAATTCAAGAAGGTCCATACACAACCATAATAGAGGGTTGTATAAATTAGAGGACCAAACGCAGAAAGAGCTTACAAGGCAGTAAAAGACGCCGGGCACGAATTTCGAAAATCGGTCCGAATCTGCCATCTTGAACACCCGCTATCTCGACGACTTTGCATTCCCTTTTCGTTTTTTTGGATTGGTATTGGTGCAAAAAAATCGATCGATATCTCCTGCATCTACTATCTCGAACAAAAATTAAATTACCGTATTTCCTCTAAAGAACGCCGCGGCGTTTATTACAAACTCCAGATTTTGGATGCGGCGTTCATTAGAGGGCGGCGTTTATCAGAGGGCAGCGTTCAATACAAAATGAAACGTTTTTCAAATGAAAAATGACATGGAAAATGCGATGAAAAACGATAAAAAGAATGTCAAGTCAAGGAGGGGTCAAGGAATGTCAATATCCCTGTCTCCATCAGAGTCCTTGTCTCTATGAGATAAAAACTTTCATGGCTTTCGAATAGTAAGCGTATAAGCGATTCCTTACTTCTTGTTTGGTGTGTTTTCTAATGAACCCCGCTTTTCAAGATGCGGCGTTCAATAGAGGGCGGCGTTTATCAGAGGGCGGCGTTTTTTCCAAAGGGTTGGCTGAAGGTGTGGCGTTCAATAGAGGACGACGTTTATCAGAGGGCGGCGTTCATTAGAGGAAATACGGTACCCGTCAAAGCTTATTAAAGATGTTTTGCTGTCTTCTACATAGCTGGCATGAACGTCACTTTAACAAATCGATATAAATATATTTATCGCACTTATTTCCCCCTTTTTTGTTATAAGGGCAAAATGAAAAAGACATCAATTGCACGATTATTTTGGAACAGTTAAGGGGATTCTTGCAAATATCTTCACAAGTAAACAACATATTCTAGTTTCTTATGACTGCTGATATTTCAAACTGGTACTGGAGCCTAATGAAAACAGATAATAAACCATTTTTGGTGTTACTCAACTCTTGAAGAATCTATGCGCTCAAAATATTAAGAGCAATCATACGACCAGCAACTCTGGTGTGAATTGATTTCCCTGTATGATTCTTGTCGACTATAAAGATTCTTCTAATTCTGAAGAAACTTACTTGTAGAACCGTCCTTGCGTGTGACTCGTCTTTGAGCTGTTTCTTTAAAGAATCTGCTGTCGTTTTTAAGTCCTCTTCGATGCGTTCGCATTTCTCCCTTTCGCGTTCAAGCGTTGTTGTGAGTTTGTCGTGGACCAACCTCACTTTGCTGATTTCTTCTTCGAGAATCTAAAAGGGCAAAGTGTGATGTGCAACAAATTATAAATTTAAAGATTGTAGGAAATTAAGAATTCGAATAAAATCAGTGAAAAAATGATTTTATAACTGCATTTATGAATAGATACATGAAATAAATATACGAAAGAACGTATAAATGAATAAGTGAATGAATGAATGAATGAATGAATGAATGAATGAATGAATGAATGAATGAATGAATTAATGAATGAATGATTGAATGAATGAAAGAATAAATGGTTGAATAAATGAAAGAACGAATAAGTGAATAAATGAATGAATGAATGAATGAATGAATGAATGGAATGAATGAATGAATGAATGAATGAATGAATGAATGAATGAATGAACGAGCGAACGAATGAATGAGTGAATGGATGAATAAAAGCCAAAGTAAGAAAAATGCAGAAAATACGAATGACGTCATTTAAATGGAAAAACAAAAAGATGTAAATTTAATGACGCAATTAACCAACAGAGAATTTACTTATGATTAAATTACAAATAGCTTGCTGACAAACTATTATAAATAGAAAACTGAGAAATTGCAATGAAAAATTACAATGAATTCAAATCATGATACTAAAACGCTACGCTTTAAATCCGTTTGTGTTTTTAATGAATGGCAAAACGATGGCTGTGCATAAGTCTAACAGTAAACAGTGTGTGAAATATCTTTCCTAATTTCAGCGATTTCATCTTAATTATAAACTTATTGATTAACTCTTTTTATCATTATCGCAATCTAAATTTATTTCATGGGAAAAATATCTTGTCGCTTATTTCAAAAGCAATCATTTTAATGTACTTCTACATCAAATGACAGGTTATCCTAAATCAATTTTGGTCGAGGCCTTTTACTTTTGACGAAAATTGAGTTCTCTTTTAAAGAAGCGACGCAAAAGGAACAGGAGAAATTTTAACAACTTCCCATCAGAATCAAACAGTTAATTAAATAATAATACTAAGAAAATTGATGAAGTGAAAATTGTTTCGATAATCTTTGGCGGGTGTGGTTGATCTTATCTGCGAGTATTCAGGGATAAAATTCTACGCTTTATCGATGCATTGCATTTAATACAAAAGTCAATTCAAGAATTTTGCGTGATTATACAAAGTTTAATTGTCATATCAGTAGATGTTTATCGTTTATAAATTACTTGCAATTGGTTTCGAAATGAATAAGTAAATCGGTTGATGGATAACGGCTTTAGTAATAGAATATTTTTGATCGTTTGAAAAGATACCTTTGATCGATTCCCTTTAATCCCAGCGGAGTGCCTGATTTCGGACCGTGAGTTAGATTAATTCATAGCAAAATGAATCATAGCCTATCTTTTGAAGCATTACACAAAATAACATTTCAATGAAGTGCCGATACACGATTATATTCTACCTCTCTGAAGTCACCCTCGACATTATGTCGAAATTTGATGTAACATGCTTGTACAGAGGCGTGTTTCTGATTCGAACTCATAGGGTGGCGTCGTCATGATCATAAATACGAATAAAACGAATTTCGTCATGGTCTTTTTTCTCCAGCTCATGATAAAGCTGCCATTTTCAGTAAATGGTTGTGAACGTTATGCTCAATGTTTGAATAGGGGATCTGCTAGCGTATTCTGGCCAGATTGGCAACACAGAGGAAGTGGAATGGGGGTTAGGATGGGCAAACGGGGTCTTAAGCAGTTGAAGTCAGTCGAACCATAAAAGACAGCTTCATATTACATCTAAACTCCACTATCTCCATTCTCATTTCAGAAAACATTTAAATCTTTCCTATTTATTTGGATAATATCACAAACTCCATTTTCTCTTTGTTGTAGAAAATGTTTGTGTAAATTATAAATAGAACCTACCTCAGCTTAAGCATTACAAAATTGTATCGAAGTCACATATTGAAATACGAATAAAAACACATAAATAAAAAACATATAAAAATATGACAAATATGAAATGGCGATATTAAAATCTCTACCACAGTAAAACTAACCTCTCCTTCGCTGCTTATCTTAGTCATCTCCATAAGTGCTCGCTTTACAACTTTCTCTCCTTCTTCTTTCTCTTTAAGCCTACAAAGAGCAATGGTTTTTATAGCGAGAAATAACGAACAATATGCTTTAAAAGAAACTTAGTGACAATATCCAGCTGATGCTGCCTCTCCATTCTCCAGGTGTGTAGTGTCATCAAAATAACAAGGGAGGCTCTTGCACAAAATGTTTCTAAAAATTTTGCAAATTTTCGGCATTAACAAAAGGGCTCAGTCCCCTGAGCCTTCCTGAGCCCCCTAGCATTACACCCCTGCTCCTCTCTAATATTTGTTTATATGTCATCATCTTTGCGTCGAAATTTGCGACGGACTGTTAGGAAGCATTTACACACTGATTAAAGGCCTTGGAATTTTCATAGACCTTTGAAAGGGATCTAAGATTTTAGATAACATGACCATCAGAATTCATCAGAAGATGTTTCAAAAAATCATCAGCCGAATTTCTGGTTCCTTCTTTGTAAATAGTCTTAATGCAGAGACAGGTTTTAGGTGATCCTCTATATGTCTTGTGTCGATTTCCAATTTTTTCTAACAATTTACGTAAGCTATTCCAAATCAAATAATATAATATTATAGAGAATGCAAATGGGTGGGTGCTATTTGTATCCCGTTTATACAGGGGCGGGCAATTAATTATTCTAAGGGGCCACATGACAAAAATGAGCGGTGTTGGAACGACCAACCAACAATAACCTCATTTTGCACAAAATTAATTTTCGTCCAACGTAAAAGGAAAAAAATTATACTATATTTTAGCTGGTACCTATTAGCTGAAATATTTAGATATGACGTAAATATGTATATGAATATATAAAATTATGATGTAAGTCCAGTGGGGAAAAACTCCCACAGAAGGTCATGTTTTGATTCACCACACACTCAAGCGAACGGGCCGGATGTGGAACGGAACGGGCCGGATGTAGAACAGGCCGGGCTTCTTCATATATCCGGGCCGGACAGGAGCATCTAAAGGGCCGGATGTGGCCCGGGGTTCGTAAGATGCCCAGGTCTGCTATAAGATTTATAGGTTTTACTAGAAGCATAAGGCATGGAAAAATAAATGAAGGTACTTACGAGTCATTAATCAGCTTTCTGATGTTTCTTATTTCTCTTTCCAATGCCCGATTGGTAGCAATAAGCTCCCGCAGTTTCTGAGTTTGTTTTTTAATCTCAAGTTCCAACTTTGCATTCTGCGTTTCAAGCTCCGTTTTCTATACAAATTTTGAAAAAAAGACGATCAAGAGTTTTACTCGTATGCCAGGGTCCTTTCCAAAATATAGGTGCAAAAGGTGATTGCTAACAGTAATTTTTTGAAGTAGAAGGTTCACTGTTGCGTGTCAGTCTGTAATAGGATTTTTTACATTACACCTACAAGTGTACGGATATTTCGCAATTTACAAATAAAAGCCTTGAAAAGAAACATCTATGTAATTGGCCTTTGCCTAAATTGGAGAGTATTTCTTTTTTAAGCCATGTTTAGTACACGGAGAATCATCTGTACAATTTGAGAAGATGTTAACTGTTCAAATAAGATATTAACTGTTCATAGACAAAAACGAGTAAAGAATCATAAAGAATTTATCAAAGACATGTTGGCAGTTTATAATAAAATTACCTGCTCATCTTTCTCCACTTTTAGCTTTGTATTTTCTTCCATTAATTTCATCTTCTCGCTCTCTTGTTCTCTAATCTTCCCCTTCAAATTCTCAACCTGCAACAGCAAAACAAATTTATCTCAAAAATAATCTGAAACAAGAAATCCTATGCCCAATATCTAAAAAGATTTGAAGACGATTTCAAGAATATCATTATTGCCATACCGTCATGGAAAGTTATCGACAAACAATTGCTTAGCATTTAGGGCAACAAGCAAGCAAGGGCTTGGCTTTGAAGCTATAGTTGTCACTTTTCTAAGCACAAGCACCATATAAATTCGACATGAATACAGATGTTTTTAGGGCCTAACTAATATTTGCGGCCTTTGTTTAGCTAAATTGTGCTACATAATGCCGCATAAAGGCGAGACTGTAGTTGATAGCAAGAGGTTGATTTCAACAAAATAATTCAAAGCGTTGATATTCTCTGCAATTGAGAAATTATTTCTTACAAAATAACTTTATTTAAGAGAACGGTGATGAGAAACGTAAATTCTACAAGCTGATTGCAAACGATTGAAAATACCTTAGCTTCCTGAACTTTTTCTGCATGTTTAGCATTTTCAAGCCTGGCATCTATGAATTAAAAAAAAAATGAAGCCAGAAAAGTGAAAGTAAATAATAAAGTAAATAATGAAAGTATCGACTGAACTTTCTGGAACCAAAACAAGCATCAAATCTTCGATTTGATTGAGAGAAACATTCTAGATAACAGCTTTAAAACAGGTTTTTGCACAATTTATCCTACAGGGTCACATTCTGTCCTAAACAAAATATTCCTGCTAATGACTGTCTGCCGCTAAAGGACTGTTTTGCAATATCTACAATACATAAACTGACAGTTCAACCAACCCCTCCATTAAAAACACAATTGACTTTAGACGTAAGCATCATAACAAACCTAGAATGCAGTATCGAGCATAAAAGCTCTGAAAATCATGCTAAAAACATTTTTTAAAAGTTGCGATAGGATAACATAAGCAATGCTTAAAGATCTAGAAGGCATAAAAGGAATTTTTGCATGCAATGTTATTCTGAAAAGCCTGAGAACCAAGTAGAATCAACTGATAAAATTAGCCAGCCGTGTTTAGAAATTTCACTATTGCATATGAAATAACAACAATAATTTACTTAGTGAATGTACTTTGTCGATCGAAGACCTTGAAGCAGGAAATTACAGAAAATGACAAAGGTCAACGGGAGATTATACGCAGAAGTATCAAATGAATCTTTGTCCATCTTCTAGAAATTTTCGGTATTTGATAGGCTAAAAAGCCTCGTAATAAAAAAGGAGTCTTTGTGTAGCTAATATAGTTTTGCTTTTCAAGGCAATTTTATCAAACAATACAGCAAAACCCCGCCAACAAGAACCTACTTTTCTAAAGAACAGACTGATTAGGTTCTTATAAATGTGGTACTCATGATATTTTCAGGGTGTGGCTCTTATCGCAAGGGCACTAACAACTATGATGCACAAGATAAAAGTAACTAGTTTTGAGAATGGCCTGACTGAATTTCAAATTGTAGATGATATGGTATTTTGTTGGGGAGAAACCAATTTCAATCACAATATGAAAATTAAAATAAAATGACATGGCTTTGAATATCAATTAATCAAACCACAATGACGACTTGAAAACTATACTTTCAGAATTTGAGAATTTCATCTTTTATTTAATATGATGTACAATCTCATATGAACATGGAAAGAAATCAGTCTGTTCTTGGTTCTTATCTTTGGGTGTTATTTTCCACAAAATCAGTCTTAGAGTTCTTATTTTCCTATGTTCTTGTTTGCGGGGTTTAACTGTATTGGCAAGTCATTTAAATAAATCATTAAAGACAAAGCCCGATTAAAAATTGTACCTAAAACTTCTGATTCGTCGGCCATCTCGTTAAGCCGTTGTCTTGAATCATGCAGTGAGTGAACGAACGACGTGTAATGCATTTTGTATCTCGACAGTTCATCACTGAAATGAAATTTGATATTAAAATAAAAAAACAAGATATATGAAATTGATATACCATAGACCAAAACTAGTAGAAAAACCTAGATCACAAAGTAAGCAGAATTTTATTTAAGCTATAAGGAAAATTTGAGAAAAATTTTTTACAAAAATTCCAATTGATTGAAAAAAAAATCAATTTTCCATTAAATTTGTTGCAATAAATAAATATATAGAGTGCCTTCCAGTTATCAAAATGCCAAATTATTCGTTGCCATCGAAGGCAAAAAATTAAATGAAAAAAAATTACCACTAATCCACATATTTCCCAATAAATAATTTTTTGTAGTGATATGCGCGTAAGATGCGGAATATTAAAATCCTTGTAACTTTTCTTTCAAAATTTATTAGCTTTCAGTTAAGCATCTAAATTTGTCAAAATGTTGAAAACAACTTCCGTTCTGTAATATTGCATGATCGAAATTCAAACGTGCTTACAGATTATCAGCTCTAGATGGGCCTTGTTTGCCTCAAATAACCTCGCTTAGCATGCCTTAAACTAGCAGTCCCCTTATATACTTTCATACCCACTTTTGTGCAGATCCAACTGCAATCTCAACCCTTGGCCTTGTAGAGACAATAACTAAACATAAACTCACTTTATGGATGTTAATTCTTGCCGGACTTGATCCACTTCCGCATCGAGTTTATTCCGTTCATCTTCCGCATTGCCATCAGCTTTCTCGTATTTGTCTTCCATTGCCCTTAGCATAGCAAGTGCACCTGCAAGCTCGGTGTCCGTGCTGTCTTGATGCTTCTGGATTTCTACCATCTGATCTCGTTCTTCGTTGACTTTCTCTTGTACCCACGGACTGTCATACAAAAAGACAACTTTAATCCTACTTGAATCCAAGTACGTTTATCTAAATTGAACTGCTTTTATATCACGCATAAAAATACTTACTTTACCCACAGCTCGCATCCGTGTGGATGTGTGACTACAACTGTTTTTTTTAATATAGAAATTTTGTCACTGAGAATAGTTTCAAACAATTTTTCACATTACCTTCTTTTGTTTATATAATCAATCTCTTCCTTGAGAGCTCTGTTGACTTTTTCTAGGCAAGTAAAATTAAACGGATATAAGCTCAGTTTTCAAGTAGAGCATTGATTTATTAGGGCACCAATTGATTATGATAGAAATATAAAAATGGCAAAAGAAAGAAACGTATTGATTTTAAAAAAAAGATAAGATTACAGGTAGCTTATATGGGAAAAGAATTGAAAGGATAAGCAAGACAACAATTGCCAGCAACAGATACACAGAGAATAAAAAAGAAAGACAAAAATGATATACATGAATTAAATGAAAGAAGACATAAATGAAGAAATTACCAAACGAATAAAGAATGAATGAATCAATGAATGAACAAATAAAATGAAAAAGAAGGTTTAAGGACGTGACAAATGAATAAACTAGTGAATGAATGAATGAATGAATGAATGAATGAATGAATGAATGAATAAATGAATGAATGAATGAATGAATGAATGAACAAATATTTGAACAAAAAAAGAAGGAAGGGGGAAATAAATAATGGAGAAAGAATAATGGAGGTTATAACTAAATAAATAAAGGAATAAATGAATAAAAAAAGAGATATATAAAATAGATAAATGAAAGAAATGAAAGTAAGCAAAGAAGGAAGCAAAGAGGGAATTATAAAACAGCAAAATCTCCCTTACTAGTAACATGACTTGTTAAGAGCATAAATCGATAATGCAAAAAAGTTGATAATTTCAAGTAGGCTTTTAAATTATGAAAAACTACTTGTAAACTACAAGAAGTAAAATGGATGAATGAATAATATTCTCAAAACCCAATAAGAAAAGTTACGTTATTATTAAGCATCAATAAAAATCGTGAATATGACACAAGTACCTGCAACACGAAGCTTTTCTGCAACCCGATCACGTGCTCTTCCTTTGAATGCAAAGTGCCATTTCAACTCTTGAATGTTAAAAGCACACAGCTCATGTTCTGGAAAAGAAACAAAGGTTTAAGGACTGGTGTGATCTCAACGTCTGCACGGTGAAAATTTCTAGGACATCAAATCTGCTCAGGCGGTAACTTTAAATTTCCTTATAAAATTGCCATGATTTGTCAAGTAAAACTGTTATCCGATATAGCCAAGGGAGAATTCCAAAAAGTTGAAACTTAGATTGTTTGAGCATAAGCTAATTCATGATATTTGTAGAACTCCATATATCTACAGCCATATGCCCACATTATTTGCAGATGCCGAAAAGGTAGCAATGATCCAAACGATTCTGTACCTACAAGAAAAATGTCTTGACTGGCAAGATTCATAGTGACCCTTTTGCAGAGAAAGTACACTGGTATTCAAAACCAAAGAGTATAAGATACTCGTCAGACGCTTTTTGAAAATGCCTTTTCCCAACTTAAGCCTTTCTTTTATGCCCCCTTGGTGTTTCTTTTAGGAGCCTCCTCATTCAACTACGCAAACAAATTCCTCAACTGAAACCCACAAGCAACATCTAGCAAGAATGAACAGGGGATGAAACGATGCTAGCGACCTTATTTGATGATATTCTGGGTATACTTTTTGCTAGGTGTAACCAATATTTGATGTGACAAAACAGTCTCATGTGCCATGCTGATAAAGGCGATAAATTATTTTAGAACTAGAAGGCGTTTTAGACTTTTGCAAAGCTCTGTTACTTTGTTAGTAACAGAACTGACCATTTTGTTAAAGAACTATCAGAGCACTGATCTCCATTGCCTCGCATAATTGAATGTTGTTTATAAAAAATTATAGTAGAATTTTATTCATCTACTAAGGGAAGCATATCTTTACTACTGGGATTAGTTGAAGCAACTGAAAACAAGTTCAATTATAGATTATTAGTTCAGTCACATTGTTTGTACCAGAGCCTACAGCATATTCAAGTCGGTGACCCTCATAACGAACAACGGCGAGATCAATGTAAAAGTTTATGTCCATTATATCAAGTAATGCGTAGTCTTTACTTCTGGCACACTCTGACCATAAAAAATTGGGACGAAATAGTTGACTGTTGTTTGCAGGCACTCGCTTTAAGGAAGCATCAGACAATAGAGATTTCTCCATATTGTATACAAAATGTTTCCATTATTGGGAAAAATATGTTCTCAGAGGTTTTCAAAATTACCTGAGAACAGGGAAGCATCAAGTCAATTGGACATCAAGAAACACTTTCTTATACGTGAATACTATTGTAGTTAACCAAACTTTTTTAATCAATGTGCAAAAATGCAAATGGGGATAGCCGTTTTGTTACTCTCATTTGGCGTGGAAAACTTTATTTGGGAAATGGCCTAGCACATACTGCCTAGCTAATCTGATTCATTACGAAATAATTGAAAAGATATTCCAGCTAACCTTTCTGAACTGCAATCGGCAGGAAATGCATTCTGCGATGAGCATAGTCGTCTATTTTTGCCTTTAGAATACGCACTCTGTGTTTCTCAGAAGCCAATGACTGCGTAGCATTCACTCTATCAGTCTCAAGTCTACCCAGAAGGAGCAAGGTCTCCTTGACAACGCGTTCTCCAAAATCAGGCAGATCACTGTTTTTTTTGTCAATCTGAAAATCTATGGGCAATTTACGAAGACCAGCGCCAGTAATCTATTTAGACAAGAAAAACTTAAACGTTAAATATGGAAATGCTAAAAAGAGTATTTGCTGAGATAGTACTATTTACAATGCCTGCCAAAATTTTGAGTACATTACGCTAAAATTTCGCAGATCTTTATTGGCACCCCTCTCCTTTCAAAACAATACTAAATGGTAAGATTTTCATACCTTGAAATGGTAAGATTCTCATACCTTGAAATGGTAAGATTTTCATACCTTGAAATTTTTCAAAGTGATTCTATCGGATAGTTTAGGTAATAGGCTTTTAGATCAAAATTTTCTGGGGGGATATTTTTGCATTTTGTTGGTGGAAACTACTTTTTCAAAATTGTTAATTTACTATGAGTGTGTTCCAATGACTTTTGGCAGTTATTGTATCATCAAAACTATACAGATCCCATTTGTATTAATTTCTTATACTAGCTTTTATAATTCACTTCAAAAGCAGGTCCTGGAAATTGCTATCATGAGACAGAGTACTACCGGCTACTTTGCTAAAGCTCTTTGGTATTATGGGAAGAACCACAGAAAAATATGCAAACAACTGCCAAAATATTAAGCTTGAAATACAACATATGATCTAAAGATAAATTGACCTTTTGTGGTTTCTGTTTCAGAAACAAAAAGACCTGAGACAGCCCACATTTACCCCATGTTCAAACAATCCAGTAACATGAAAAAGGTTCCAGACCATACCTCTAGTTTTGCACCACTGGCTGACAAAACATGCTGGTCTTTTCGATCAAAGTGATCTTGGGTTACCAGCCAGTTAGAATTTTGTGCTAGGAGAAAAGATAGAAATTAAAGGGTGTGTCAAACAACCAAATAGGATTTCATGATTGATTTCATATGTCTTGCATTTTCTGGTGATGAAAATAAGCATTTACAGTAAAATGTTCAGATTTATTATCATTCCTGATTTTTTGAGAAAGCAACTAATATGAAATGAATACCTATGATTACATATCATGAAAAATATGTCATTTACAGTTTCTTGGTGCTGTGACAACAATCTAGACCAGTAATACTAATGCTACTTTTCAGTTCCTTTGTAAGAGTATGTCACTTGCACTCCAGAGGCCACATTGCATTTCTATTCCAACACATTTGAGCTTTTCAAAGCCAGTTGCTATAGTTAGTATTACTTCCTATATGCCACTAGCTTGTTATGAGAAACCTTGGCAAATCTAGGATTAGAAAGCACAGCTATACAAAAATTATGGCTTATTTGCACATAGCGAAGAGCCTTGTGAAGACCATTCTGCTAACTCTCCAATCAGGTCAGCAGCCACGTAGCTGCAGGGGGGCACAAGGAGGGAGGTGGTTAAGGGGGCAAAATTAAATGAAAATTTTGACAACAACTTCCCGGCTCTGGTTACACTTTTTCCAAATGATATTTCAAAAAGCAGGCATAATTACATTGTATCGTGAGCTTGATTTAGTCCAAATATATATGTTTGTTATATATCTGCTCTCTTGTCTTAAAGCCTGCCCCCCCCCCCCACCTCATGTATGGTTCTTGCTTGAGTTTGCCCACATTAGATGACATCTACAGCTAGGTGGTTGCAGGTCAGTAACTTAACTTGAATAATTTGCGGTTTTCCAAATATTAATATAGCATAATTAGATGAATAAAGTATTTCTTACTTTCTGTTTTGCTAGTGTTGTCTCCTTTTGTCTGGATCTTTTGCATCTCCTTTTGTCTAATCACAAACAGTCTATCTTCCAGCTCATATAAATGTGTCACTGCTTTTTCTATGCATGGAGAAATTCTCTGAGTAAGTTCACAGCTCCTTCTTTTCTCCAAAATCCTGTACGGAACAGGCCATTTCATATCTGGTGCTAAATAATTAGACACATAAACATTAAAAATGATATCTTTGGATTTTAAGACAAGGTTGAATGAAAATAATTTATGCATAATTACCAAAAAATTTATGCAAGTTTATTGAGGAAATATTTTCAAGATGATGAAGTTGCAATGCAATGGAATGGAAACACATCTGAAAACAAAAAAGAAGTGCTTATGAATAGGGGCAGCACTCTGGAATTCCAAGACCACAATTACAGACAAAAGTGTGTCAAGTTCAAGGGGACATAGCCAACCATACAAATGCAGAAGAGATGTGGCTTTTTAGGCATTGACTAGCAGAATGGAAGGTCTAAAAAGTTGATAAATGCCTATGCTTTTACATAAAAGACAACCAGTGAATGTTTTAGAAGCTGAAAAGGCATTTGATTAGTATTGTACATGTGATGAGAATTCATTGCGAGGCATCATGATAGAGTTTATCAATGCCAAATTCTCCAGTCTTTGCATCAGTTGGAAAATATCTGACTTACATGTAAATTGAACTTCGTTTTATTCAGACAATTTTGTACAGTTCAAGGAGAAACGGTTTGTTTTTTGACATAGAATTGTGGTTTGTAAATTGATCTGTTTAGATAATGTATTATAAATATGGACAGGCAAAATAAAAATCCTAGTATAATTATGAATATGGAAAGGCACAAAAAAAACTGTGAGCAAGATCCCATTTAAAAATAGACATAACCTGCTTGAAAGCAATTTAAAAGATACCACAATTATATTCAGTTTATTTGCAATTATACGCTAGAAATTATCAAAATAACTGCAATGCAAAGCTTAAAAGGCGATACAACCGAAAAAGTATGTATGCCTATAGTTTCAAAATCAAATTCAATGGCAAGAGATTATCCATCGATACTGTTGTAAATGAAACAGAATGCCTGTAAAAACATCCATACAAAATTAGTATTCCAGTTTAATTCCGGAAACAAATTTCACTGCTGAAATAATTTTCTTCCCTAAAAGATAATTTCTAACCTTCATCCTCTGCCATTTTTTTTGAATCCATATCCGCCAACTAACTCAGACTGTTGCTCATTCTTGTCTGCATTCGAAGAAAAAGGCTTTCAAAAATCACAGATAACTTCACGTTTTATTCCGAAACACCGCTGTTCTTTCCATACAAGAATTGTCTGTGCTGTTGACCTCTGTCTTTATCAACCTTCAAAAAACAAGCTCGCAAAAGACAAAGAAGACAAAATCTCAGTTTTTCATTTATCTATTAACTTGTACGCTGCTTTTCTGTTGACTTCTTTTATCTCAACGTAAGCCTTTCCTTCACATATTGTCTGCGGCAATGGCTGAATTAATAGGCCATAAAAAATTCATGACAAACGACCGATCCAACAGCAACGGAACAGAGAACAGTTGGTGTGGTTTTCAAAAACTGCAAGTTTCAGAGAAGCAGATAATCCACGGAAATTTTTGATGTATATTTTCTATTCCTCTGACACGCGAGCCAAAATTGTACTCATCGACCAAGGATGATGAACGGGAAGCGAAATTCTGGTGTTCGCCATTTTCGTTTTGTTGTCATGGAAAATGGAATAATAATGAAACAAAGGCAATATCCTTCACAGGGTCAAACGATCACTGACGAGTCTCGTCTGGATCAAGTGGCCTTGTCTAGTTCTGAAAGGTCCAAAAGTCTTATCTAGTTCTGGGGGGGGGGGTACTCCCATTATGGCCGAACAGTGGGTCCAGTCAGGATCAAAGAGGGTCAACGCTAAAATTTTAAAAAACTACCCTCAAATGGTAGCATTTTTTTACAAAAACCTTCACATGGTAGCATAAAAAACGAAACTGTGCTCCCCTGGTCCTTCTTTGACAATTTTACTCACAATTTACTGTTGTTGTTTCGACTTTAGTTTTGCAGAAAATGCAAAATATTAAGAAGTGGATCACCAGTAAAGCATTTTTTATTCGATCTTAGCCCGGCACTTTAATAGACGCCCAACTTTTCGCAACTCTCCGCGGTGCCTGATCTGTCTGGAATTCTATGTTCACTCTTTAGCATGATGTGATCAATAAATACATTTTGTTGTCTTCGCAGTTATAATTCACCTTCGCAGTACGAATATTTTGCATGGGCTCCTTGGTACGAATTCTTGCTTCCATCCATTTGCATAATAAATTACTATATTTATAGCCGTGAAAACTTAAATCGCAAAAACTTTAAAGAACTTGATAACGTCCCTCAATTGATTCTGCTGCATTTTAGCAGCCATTCATAAGAGCTGCTGATTCTTAATTCTTCGATGGGACTCCTGGCTAATACAGGCATCTGCATTTCTTGCAAAATTGTAGAAAAGGATATCACTTGAGGCAGTGTGATGATGCTAAACGTCACAAGGAACATAACGGAGTAATGACTTATACGAAACTGTAGGAAAAGGAGATCACACTTGATGTAAAGACTTTCTTGGATTTTCCAAACTATTTTGATACCTATTCTCAACACAACTTCTAAATGATTAAAAAAGAAATAATCCTTCTTATTGTTGGTAGGAGTCGAAAATTTTGTTTGGACGCTTTTGTGCAATTTATAATGCCTGGATTTGAGTTTTGCACAAATATGCTCTTATGATAAAAACTTGGTAGTGAGGATATTCATCCTGTTGACGTTAGGGAGGTAAAGATTTACGAAAAGATTGGCTTAAATGACACTTTTGCGAAAAAATAAAAAGTAGTCTACGGAAGATTATCTTGAAAGATTCAAATATTTTGGTTATTATAGAGCCGATATCAGAAGCAATGAAACATTATCGATGATAAATCAATCGGTGTTAAATCCGGAATAAACGATAAACACAACAGTACAAAGACCTTTAGAAAAGTTCTAAAAACAATGTAATTAGTGGTGTCTAAAGAGAAGTATCTTTTATAACCAGTGATGTCTAATGAGAAAGATGTTCGAGATATCAAGCAGCCTAAATAGTGCCTGATAAGCCTTTTATACATTAATGGTCGCATAAATTCTCTATATTTGAGCAATGGACGTTTAAGAGAAAAGTTATAATGCGCCTGAGAGTTAGGCCTTTTTTTCACTGATACGTTTTCAAAAAATATTGCGTATTCTGAATTGTCTTTTCAAATGGTTGAGTTTTCGATCTCAGACGTAGCGTTGTCGCGTAGAGGTGGAAACAAAGGCTATTTTTTCGTTTTCATTTGCATAGCTAACTATTTGTGCAGATATGGCCTAGAATAACAAGTATGTAGTGTATGCTTCATTTTTATCTTGGCAATTGCAACGTATCCAAGCAAAATGTCCTTCTTATCAATCGTCAACCAGTTACCATAAACCTGTCAAGCAACCTATTGGAGGGTCAAAACAGCCTAGACTTTCCCAAAGTCTATTTTTGTTTAAATCCTAAGGATATTTCCTCATATTATCTCCTTCGCAGTTTAGATTAACCCTCGCAGTAGCACGAATGCCTTACGGATTTAATAAAAATAGACTTTTGGAAAGTCTAAAGACAGCGTGACCCAGGTAGTTAGGAACAAAATCAGAGAATATTTCGATATCTGAAAGGTTCGCACAAAACAGATAAAAAAGAAAGAACAAAAATTGTGTGTGCAGACAAAGATACCGGAAAGGCATTATTGGTAGCATATTGTTTGCTTATAACTGACAAATAACAATAATAGTAGTATTTACAAGTCGTGAGTTCGAGCCGCGCTCGGGTCGGTTATTTTCCCGCACTCTCTATTAATTATTTATTGTTAGTAGTATTTACAGAAATGAGGAATTGGGTAGGTGGTGAATCTTTCTGCATGGAATATTAGTTACCGACTTAAATATGTTTACCTTTAAACGAACTTTTGAACAATCAACTTCTTTTATAATACAACTCAGTGAATCTGTCGGTTGAATACTTCTTACAATGAAGGAAAACTATTTGCATGTGATTTATGGCAACAACAAGTACTTACATCTTTTATTTCGACGACAAAACTTATAAATGTTGTTCTCACAATAAATGGTTCTTTACTTGCCAATGATGTTCTTTGTGCAGTAGCTTACCTCAAATGCGCTAATTAAAATGGTTTGTCCTTTAACAGTTTCTTGAAAGTTTCTATGAATTGAGTCCCCAGTCGTACGGTAAATAATTAAGCTTGAAATTCTTACTCTCCAGAAGTTCAGCTAGTTGCTTCTTCTTTTCACATTCTCCCATGTTTTCCATCACCCACTGTAGGATCTGCATTTAAGGACATTAAAGTCAAAACCAGAAAATATAGTCACACCAGATGAAGTAACTTGCAATGTACCGTAAGATACTGTCACACTGTCACGCTGTCACTTTGAAGATTAAGTATTCAATTCATTCAACTTTAACATTCATAATGTACAAGCTTCGGGGTGTAGAACAGGACGGCTCTAAGTTGCCAACCCAAGTTTCACGCTTGATACGATCATTGGGCAATTGTAGAGATCATCAAGCAGTACGGCAACTGCGATCATCAAGACGAGAGACCGGTATGGCAGTTATTTCCATGCACAATGTGAGTCATCTGTCTCTATACTAGTAAGTGTATTTCCATTGATAACTAGTATATATGTAACTAGTTGCTCGATTAACTAAAGATTAAGGCAGAGCATGCTTTCCGCAAAACCTTTGATTAAACCCAAAAAGGATGAATTCACTTGATTTCGACAAAATAGTGTACAACAAGGTTAAAATAAGACAATATATTGATAATTTTGGATATAAAATGAACCAAAGCAAGAAATGAAGTCTTGCAATTTGAAAAAGCTGAAAAATTTTTCGCGCTGTCTACTGATTTAACTTCCACAGCGAATAAAAAGTCCGATAATAGCGGTAAATTGAAGTGAATTCATACCCAGGTGCAGATGTTTAAAACTTAAATTCAACATATGTGTGCAGGGAAGCAATTACACTATAAAACTTGGATTTTAACCACGAGAAAACTTTATGACTGATTGTTGAATCAATCAAGGGATCAATCAAAGTTTCGATTCAATTTCTCAAGTCAATTTGGTTTCAAACAATTTCTAAATGCTAAACTCTGACGAGTGTCAGACCACGAAACGTAAGTCGAAAAACGTCTTAGATGATTCTAGCAAACTCACATTAGCCTTTGTCTTTCCAAAATCCTCTTTATACCATTTCAAAATCTGACTTAGCTTCACCTGTATAAAATAAAGAGACGATGAGCCATAAAACACGAGTAAAACAAACTAAAAGTACAGCCATGGTAATGCGCTGCAATTTGTAGGTGTTTAACAAGGCTTGCTGTATTGCCGATACAACAAGTCAAGGGTCAGGTCAAGGGTTAGGTCAAGGGTCAGGTCAAGGGTCAGGTCAAAGGTCAGCCAATTGCGTATGAGACAAAACAGATATGCAAAATATTGACAGATTTGTTTAAAGCAGGATATAAGAAGTTGAAAGATTCAAAATTGATTGTTCAAGGGCCAAACAATATTTGGGAAGATCGCAAACAAGAAACAGGGAAAAAAGATCACACCATTAGAGGTTAATCTAGAAAAAAGGAGTCAAAAGAACTGATTCATAGATTAAACAATAACTAATATAGATTGAAATTGAAGTAGACAGATTGCAAAGATGAATAAGTAAAATATGTTTCAAAGGAGAAAACATAAAGGTGAAATTTAAGAATTAAGAGATAAAATTTCTAGAATTTGTTTATTGCAAATTATAAACCTGCTATTTTCTAGTATATATGAAGCAGAAGGAACTCTTATAACAAATTTGGCATACATTTTCATAGCAAAACCTCTGGTACTGTGAACAGAGAAAATAATTGGTTGCAAGGTAAAAGTATGCAAATTAATTGAATGCAAGGTACCTTTTCTGTGCCAAAACCCCAAAGTTGCACAAGTTACAATGCCAGAAAGTAAAAAAGATTATAGAGGAAACAAAAAAAATGAAAAATCACCTCTCTCTTGGTCATTTCCACTACGCAGTCATCCCCTTCCAAAAAGGACTCTGCTGCCAGCTTAAGCTGATTATCAATGTCCTGCAAAAGAAAACACGATTGCTTAGAAAACAAGGTTCGGCTTTTAGGAGATTTTCATATGTAAACTACTGCAGAAAGAACTACTGTAATCTTCAAGTGGTCCAGTTGAAACTTGACCCAGGATGAAAACTATAGACAACAATCAGAGCTAGACGATCGCATTAAATATTTTACAAGACGTTAAAACGCGAAATTTCATGGTGATATGATACCCAGTCGACTGCAGACAATATTACGCAGTGTCATAGTTATAGCACACATTTGAAAAAAACCAGCAAGTTCACGGTACAATAAATACTAGAAGATTTGTAGCCTGCACGAGAAATTAAACGGATTGCATGTACTAAAATAAATTCTTACAACATCAGCTAGCCTGATTAAACTCTGTCAGGGGAGCAGTTGTTGGGAGGGTAAAAGAGCCATACGACCCCTAAAATTACAGATATGCTGGGAAAGGTTGGAAATTTTGCTACTTTGTTGGAAATTCAGTAAAATTAGATATTTGGTTTCTCCTAAAAAATAACTCACTCCAACTCAGCTTTACAGTGTTGTCTCTAGTCCATTTGAAAATAGAAAAAGAAATCAAAGGACAACTACCTTTGCACTGTATGTCTTGATCGGCGGACAACTCTTGGCACCACATACCAGGGCAAAATGGATTTTTGGCTCAGGTTCCTCCAAGGCAACTTGCAAGCGTGGGTCGTTCTTGGAGAACGGTCTCCGGAAAGAGCCGAGTGGTTTTCGATTCGATCTTAGGATGCCATTCTCGATTTCATTCAGTGAGTACACTTGACCACCGATGACGTAACTAACCACGTTGAAAAACTACCGAAGACAAATTCAATGTCTAAGTGATTCGCTGATGCAAATATTGAAATAAATATCACCACTTTTTTTAAAAAGGTAGTATTACTTTGATGACCTTTGCAGAATTGTATGTTATTTCTCAAGTTCAAAAGTATTGCTATGAAAAAAGTTCTAAAAGGGGTGGCATAAAAATATCTAAAGATATTGAAGAGCATAACGAGGCTATAGAGGTTTGAGAAGGATAAATTACCATTTTGACAAGTTTGCCGTACAGAGTTACAAAGAAAGGTTTCCAAATAAAAGAAGCATGCGAGAATTAATTATCAAGATGTTCTGTTTAGCCTTGCGTAACATCTTCTTAATAACATAGAGATCTAAAACCATACCTCTTCTGTGCACATCTTTTGAAGCAGAAAAAAATCTAGGCGCCTTACCTTGTATCTTTGCCAGAGATTTGTGGGTGGCCCACGGACAACAAACGCGTGAATAACCAACGCATTGTAAACATTGATGAAGAAGGCAAGTTTCTCTTCCCGTGATGCATTTTCCACATTAACTCGCTTCAGCTCTGCGGTGTGTTTCTGGTACTGTTTAAACTCTGCACTTTCACCTATGGCCTTGTAGTCAACTTTCTACAAAATGGAAAGAGCACAATGTGTTTACATTCAAAATGGCGCGAAAATATGGGAAGATTGCAGTTATACTACAGTAGTCTTCGTCTGAGACTCATCAAGGATATTGAACTTTGCCTAATGACAAACTTCACGATCAGTTTTTTAAATTGGCTGTGATGCAAGGTAAGTTGAAAACTGCTTGTAAACGAAGTAAAAGGACAATTCTTTTGGGGGGATAAAAGAGAGAAATTCTTCTAACATGTAAGGCAACCCCTGTTATAGAGTCAAGGAGCATGCTTAGTGAGGATTAAGTTCCATGCACGGATTTTACTCAAAGACGCAGGATGCCTCACCCATTAAAATACGTTTTCCTATCAGCTCTGCTAATAGTTGCCAACAATACAATCAAAATATTAATGATCAAACTCTTTTTGAGTACGAACCTTAAGTGTTTGGTAAAGGAATGTCAACGTGCTTGCCGACAGTCAACACATCTACTTCTTCTCAAAATACTTATGAATTTCAAGCTTTCAAATCAGATTAAAAAGCGTTCATAAAAAAGCAACAAGCTCCAACTATCTCAAAAGTTGTCACGCTACTGGATGCTCGAGCTAGTTTCCATTTAATTTCCGCTTTATAATCAATCATACGACACTAACTGAGAATATATTTGCTTGCTGTCGATGATCGAGCTTGAATTTCGACTATTTCAACGACCCATGACTTTTGAACTATTACCTTTAGACTTTAATGCATATGATTCACTAAAAACAAAATAAAATAACTGCAAAAGCTGTTAGTCAGTGTCCAAATAAATAACACATTAATTGATATCAACGATCGACCTATCACTTATGCGTCATGACTTTTGCACTATCACCTTCGATCTGCAAGCGATTGGTTAATTCTCTAACAAAATAGTAAACAGAACACAACACAATTCGGAGAAATTTAAGCTTACTTTGCCATCGGCTGACAAATGAGAGTTGTATATCGACAATATCAGCTTTCTCAAATCTTCACCAACTTCAGCAGCTAAATTGAAAAAAACAGATTTTAATCTAAACACAATTCAAGAAATAACTTAAAAAAGTTAAGAAATAAACTAACAATTCAAGAGCACACGTTGAAGAAACACACAAATCTTCACTGGCATGGGCGTCTCTGACTGGAGGAGCTGGCGGTGAAAACCAATGAGATGTGATGAAATATTATACCTACTTAAGATAAATCTAGTTTATATTTAAAGATATACCCCAAGAAGGCTTTTAAGAACCTTAAATTAAGAATAACGCGTACAATTGATACAAGCTTGGCAACTACGGAAATAGCAAGAATTAAAGCAATGTGTGTGTGTGTGGCATAGCTGTAACCCAGAACCCAGTTTCAAAGGAAAGATAAATTTTATTTGTTACAGTTGGAAAGCTGAACCATCTTTCGGTTGGTATGAATAATTTAAAAATCATCAGAGACAGTAACCCAAAGATTATGTTTATACCAGACATACAAGTGGGATAGCTGCTTTCTACCTTAAGTAAATCAATCAAATAATAACTCGATTATCCTGCTGTTTATTTAGATCATATCAAGAGCAAAAGCGTTTACATTTATGCGTTCCAGTAAAACTATCCTTAAATCCTGCTATACTTGACCCAGCAATAAAAGCAGGCAAACTTTCGTCTCTACCTTTTTTGATTGGCCGCTCGGGAAGACTCTCATAATTAGCATTCAAAGGAATAGCTAAAAAGAATCTCTGGTGCTTCAAAAAGAGCCAGATCGTTAAGATCAGTTTGTATATGACCTTGATGAGCTTGGTGATGAAGGATACAACATTGCATACACTGTATGCGATACCTGACAAGCGTTAAGGAAATGATACAAAATTATTTTCAATCATGCTTTAAGTCAAACAAAGCAAAAAGGTCCCGCTAGGTTGAGAATAAAATCTTACTATAGGTGTGGGAAGTGAGCGAAATTGCTTGAAAATGATGCTGATAAGAGAGAGGCCTTTGTATAATGTGGTTTTATTGACATCATCAAAGCAGAAAAATACTTCTGAGTTGCAAGAACCTCTGAGTCATGAAGGGCTGAGCGTCGGGGTGGAACTTTTGTGGGTCCTAAGCGCACCGTGGAATTCCCACTAGAAGAATTCGTTAAGTTTCTGAGAAATTCAAGCTCTATCAAGAAAAATATTTTCTTGATATTTTTCGACAGGGTATTTTGGCCCCTCCATGTTTTTAAACCCCTCTCGCCCCAAGTGTATCTCCTAATTTCATGATAAGGGCTTTAAAAGATAAAGCAATTAACATCTATTCTCGTTGGCATGATCCTTCATTCATTGGGTTCGGTGACAAGTTGTGATTTTTACAAAAATAAAAATAAAACTTCCGAAAAAGAAGAGAGAAGAAAAGAGAGTTAGTACATGAAGTCGGGATCTTTCTGCCTTTGGCCCTTTCTGCTACGGCTGGATCTTCGTGGCTCTTCTTTTTGGGCCTGCCTCCAGAGTGCCCAGTCCTGGGCGTCCTTCGCTGTGCAGTTTTTCTGCGCCATGTCTTTTGAGACGGTCTGCGCGATGTTGTGCGCGGGCCGCCCCCTTCGAGAAAGCGGCTTGTGCCATTTGTTTTCTGTTCTTCATCTCTTTCTTGATATCAGTGAAGGAGCCGAGGATCTTGATTTGATCATTTCTTTCCTTGTCTATCTTGTGTCTCTCCGTCTTCTGCGCGTTGACCACCAAGTCAAAACGTCCGAGAACCTGGGCCGCCTTCGTTTCGATGTCATCAATGATTCGCGGGTCTTTCGAGATGAAGTTTGTGTCGTCACTGTAACACATCTCGACAACCTCTTTGAACTTGGGAACCGCGCTGCGCAGCTCTGCGAGGGCCGCCTCAAGGTATACGGTGAAAAGCGTCGGTGATAGGGCATCTCCTTGGG